CCCCCAATACCAGATGCCAAGCCTTAATTTAAAAGCAAATACTGTCTTTAGCATCATGGCAGACTATATCAGAGAAATTATATATATATATATATATATAATGTTAGCTCAGGTTTTAACTTCAGCTATTTTATAAACAGCCAGGACCTAGTTATAAAGAGGCAATTTATGAGGATCTTCTCATTTTACAAATGATCATTTGTTTTGATTCTTAAATTCCTGGCCATTTTGAAGGGAAAAAAGATTAACTCAATTAAACCTTAACTGAATGGTAAATGAGGTGGTGATTCTATTATGTCATCCACTAGATAATGCATAAGCAAGAAGAAACTACAGGGCAATTAGCCCCCTGAGAGGTTCTAATATTTCAATAAGTCCCAAAAATAAATTCTGAGCAATTTAAAGAATAAGAACTCTATTAATTGTAATGTTCCCTTGCCCACATAAAGAAAATTGTTGTGCATGTGTGTCTTTTTGCCTTTTTTTATCAAGTGTTTCTTGACCTTCTTTGTGACTTTTCAGCCCCTCACATTTGCCTCTGGCTGATTTTAAATTATGCTAATTGAAAGAGGGAAAAATGCTGGTAATGGAATAAAATGGAATGCTATTTCTTATAGCATCTGGTGCAATCTGAGCCATTTAAAAGTGCGTCTTGTGCAATAGAGATCTGAATAAGCAATGCCAGTCTGATTACAAACAACATGGGTCTCATTAGAATACGTCAATCTGATTGCTAGGTAGTGATACACTGCAGATTACTGGGCCATAATTGCCTCTTACATATCATGTGTATAATATATAGTTTCTCTGGATATATGTTGAAGCTACTTTCTCTCATGGCTATATTTTCCAGCTCTACACAAAGCAATGCCTATGTTCTACTAAGTTGAATTTAACTAGGTCCTTCGGTCCTAATTCTATTTTCTTATAAGTATTCATCAAGTTTTCTGCTGCAGTGCTGTAAACAAAGAATTATGTCCAGGGTGATTGCCAGAAACAAGATATGCCAGGGGCCTATTATCCATTCAACTGGGAGCAGTTGATGGCTCAAGGCACTTCCTCCAAAGGGAAAGGGTAAACTAACTGAGGCCACAGCCCACAGTATCGCTGCAAGTCTTAATTAGGTTGTTGATGTAAGTGTGCCATACATTTTTTTCATTGCCAAAATCCATTTTGCTCTCTACTACTACTAGAAGAATTCAGATGTCTTAGCCCAGGTCATGGCTTTGGCTTACACACTTCAGTTCATGATTTAAACCTCCTATAGGTGCTCTGAAATCGGGACCTGAGAGTCACTTTTTCTAGTAGCATAATCTCTGCAACCCATTCTCCCCACCTCACATGCTCTATCCCCAACCAGAACTGAGGCCACTAGACCACAATGGAGAAAATGCAAGTCTCCAAGCAGATGCAAACCTAGGGACGCACCATAGTCCTTGCTTAACGTCAGTTGATAGGTTCATTGAACCTGTGAGTTGAAGTGAAATGATGTATAATGAAATAAATGTTACCATAGGCTAATTGCTTTAAACAAGAGTTATGTTTCTATGGCATATTTCTGGTCACAGAAACGTCACCAAATTTCTAAATAAAGACCCAAAAGCCCACTGAAATAAATGTGAACTATACATACACTTAAGAAAGATGAATAAAAACAAGGCAGATAATGATTTTCCAACTTGCTTATTCCAGGTCAGGATCCTGGTGGCTGGAGTCTGTCCTGGCAGCTCAGAGCGCACAGCAGGAACCCACCCTGGATAGAATGCCCTTCCATCACAGAGCCACTCACCCACACACTTATACTCACTGTGACTGGGATAGTTTAGGCATGCCAATTCACCGCACCTGCATATCATTGGCCCCAGCTGGGAGTCAACTTTTTTTTTTTTTTTAAATCTCACCAATGTTAAAATGAAATGATGTTGAACTAGACAACGTTAATGGAGGACCTGCTGTATTCGAAATATGCCTTGAGGTGTGGAGGTACCTGTATCGTGGCTGGGGGTCAGGGAACATGAGCTAAAATTTGTGCAACATCAGCTGCATGTGCTTGCCTCTCTCTCTTTCAGTGTTCTTATTTGAAACCCCAAAGGATGGGTGTCCAAAATGTGTTTCAGAGAACTGTCCATGGCGATGTAAAACGGGTTTCTTCTTCAAATACATTTGGAAAATGCTAGTTACACTGGTGAAATCGGTGTCTTTGTTACAGGACTTCTCAGAGCCTTTAATGGACCAATGTGTTCTATGAGTCTCCAAAAGGGGGTAGTGGAATGCGTTGCATCACTGTTTTCCAATCTTCTGTGGACATAGAAACCTCCTGGCCCCAACCTACCATCCACTGACTAATTCTCGTTAACATCTTATCTTAAAACGTTTTATCTAAATAGTTACCCAGTCTATTGTGTTACATTTGGACAGTATCACTCATTCACATGGCCTAAGTGGCCCACGTAAACATTTGTGTTTGCAGCCCCTGCTTTCCATAGAATTGATTACACTGTATTCTCATAAGACCCTGACAAAGTAGGGAATCTTTACTCCCATTTTAAAGATGAGTAAACTGAGAATCAGGGGGGTTACGTGATTTGCCCAAGGTCATACAAGTAGTGTGTAGCCGAGACAGGATTTGCATTAAGTCTGTGCACTATCATTACATCATGCCCAAGCTTTACTTCAGTTCATTTTTCTCTTGTCTTTAGATCCAGCTTTTGTTTCTCTTTGGTTAATGACTAGCCTCTCTTTGTCACAGGCTGTCATCAAAATGAAGAATGGTGTTTGAGAAGTGCTGTCCATGGCTTTTATGCTTAGAACACAAAAATGATAATTAAAGGAAATCGCTGCTTCTTCTCTCACTCTTTATCAGATGGCAGTATCTTAGTGAAAATAGATTACATTCTGCTTTTAGCCAAAAGTAGACTTTGGAAATTAATTCTCACAAAACACGGTATGTAAGATGAATATTGTACTTAAGTTATCGTTTGTTTCACTAGAACATAACAAACATAATCAACAAGACAAATTGGTCCAAAGTAAGCCACCTGGCAGTGGAATAGGTAGGTGGTGTTCAGGGAAGAAGGCACTGGAATATATACCTGCTAAAGGTGGCATGTAGCAGCATCGCCCTGGAACAGTCGACTCGGTGGATTGCCCTCCCAGTCAGGGTGGGCATCATCCTGTATGTTAAGGGCCCCAATAGAAACACAGTCAGAGGAAGGAGAAATTCCCCTCTTTTTAGCTTCTATAATAAATGACTCCATAGTATTTAACATACTAAAGGATTATTTCTAGCTCACATCATAGCCTGATAAAGATCCAGTTAAAGATCCAGTTATCTTTTGGCAACTTTTCAGGCAGTGATTCAGGGATCCAAGGTCCTTCCCGCTGTGAGGCTGCCATGTTCAACATGTGGCTTCTAAGGCTGCAACATAAGGGGACGAGAAAGTGGACAGCCTGGAAAGGGCTGCCATCTCCACCTCCCTTATCTCACTGGCCAGCACCCAATCACGTGGACCTAACCTAATGGTTTGGAGCCTGGGAAATGGAGTCATGTGTGCACAGGAAGAGGACTAAAGCTGTGAGCAGCTAGCCTGTCTCTACCACAAGGCCATGGAGCACCATCTACCCAGGGGAGGTCGGGGAGAGTTTCCTGTAGAAGCCTAGAGCATCCACAGCCTTTTTTCCCTGCCTCACTGCTGAGCTGGGACATCTCATCTCATTTTCTCCTGCCCTGGGACCTCATTTATGCCACTGGCTGGATTGGTTCTCAGGTCTTTGGACTTGAACTGAATTACACCACAGGCTTTCCTGGGTCTCCAGCTTGAATATCATGGGGCTTTTCAGCCTCCATAATTACTGAGCCAATTCTTCATGAAAAGTCTATGTATCTGTATTTCTTTATCTTCATCTATAGTGATAGATGTATTTCTTATTGATTCTGTTTCTCTTTGGAGAATTCTGACAAATACAGTTGAGTTTCCATCTTGTTAAACAAGTGGGAGAAAAACGTCAAGCCTGTCCCTTTCAAATCACAAATATGTTGTCAACTACTCTATTAATATACTTGATTCTAGAGAAGTGTTTAAGTAAGAAATAAACACAAAATAAGCAGACATAATCCAGATTCTTTTCATTTCAAGGTCCTACTGGTAACACTGAACCACACGTCCCTACTCTCTGAAGCCAGCTGCTCTCAAGGGCTTCAGTGACTGCATTATAATAAGTCTTGAGCCTCATTTTCAATTAACAGAGGCTTAGTCAATTGATAGTTTATTTAATGAAATGGCATCATGTCCTCATCCTTAAAACTGTGACCCTTAATATGTTTGTAACCCACACCAATTTGGAATTTAATGAAATGTATGATCTTTCTGTCCTACAAAACACACATGTACATATTATCCTTAATACACACTGACTACACATTTACACCATGTTTTAGAGACACTCTTGGACCTCTGGGCACTCCAATGTGTCCTCAAGAAATCCAAGTATCCCGGATTAAAAGCCCGCGGTCAAGATTGGTAGCTGGTCACTTAGATCAGTACCAAAGCTGTGTGAAAGGGTATGGAACTGGGGATAGTAGAGTGTCTTCTCATTAAAAAGGCTCCTGAGCATAGCCACCATTTGCTGAGCGCTGGTTAAATGTTAGACACTGTGCTAAATGTTTTAATCCATTTAGTTTTTATAAAAGCTGTTGACACTATAATCACCATTCTGCAAAAAAAAAAATGGGTGCAGGGACGTTAAACTCATCCTAGACTGAATGATCAGTAAGAGGTGGAGGCTGAATTCGAACCAGTTTAGTCTTAATCACAAAGAGAAACGGAATTGAAGTCAGACTTGCTACTGCATTGTTCTCAAGAATGAGGACCATTTAGAAGTCAATGCGCTTTACCCTCTAAATAAGCATGCTCAATCAGAATGTAAGACTTTTCTGTTTTAACCAAATGGCAATCAACATTTAATTACTTTAAACCACCATACATATGGCAAAAATTATTGAAGACACAAGTAGATTCCTGGTTTGTATATGGCAACCACTTTATTATTTTCCAATGCAAACTCTTTGCATTTAGTTTGCTATTTTACAATTTTACAAACTAGGTATAAAAGACCATAAATAAATGACATAAGTTATGTGTACCTAAGTTTCATGAAGGGAAGAAAAATACCTTGACAAATTAAAACAAAATAGAAAATCTATGTCTAACTCAAGAGATTGCTTAAATTTCGGAACATGTATGAACCAAGCAATGTTCTGTTAATTTCTTTTTCAGTATGAACTAAATTATAATAAGCCTTATACATTCTAATTTTAACCACAGTCCTTGCATATTCCAACTTACTTGGAGTGAGAAAAAATAATAATAAACGCACTCTTCAGTGTGTATCAATGCTTGATGTTGTTTGGAGAATGTTAAAGTGAAAATACTGCTTCTAGAACTTTCCTTTACTGGTCAGAATTTAAGTGTCTTCAGACAAATATTGAGGCTATAAGTGTGTATGGATTAATACACATATCCTTCACAGATTGAATACAAGAGGTCTCAAAACACACACAAGCAGTGTAGTGAGCACAACCTTTCTTTAAAGTAACTATTTTAAAACACACCAGAACATTATATTCGTAGTATTGTTCAAAATAATTTGGGGCCAGTGGACACATGGCGAAGCTACTTGATTTGGTGCGGGGGATCAGCTTAATGCTTCCTCATGAAAGATCTGAGCTCACTTGGCCAGCACTCACACTCGTGGGGCTAGACACAGCCCCTGAACTTGGCCTCCTGACCTGACCTCTGGGGAAAGGTGACCTGCTCAGAGATTCAACATCATTTCTTTATACATATTTTTCAGGCATCAATGCATAGGCACATCCCTTTAAAAATATATTAAAGTCCCCCAAAAGGGGTGAATTCACTTTGTCACTCTGGCATAGTTCTAAGAATACAATGCCATACACCCTGTCAGAATGCAATAAATATTTATTGATGATTTTCTTTACTTATTCAACAACATAGGGTTCAGAATCTTTTGTTTCCCATTTTTTCCCTGATTTGATGTTATAGCTTATATGAATGGCTACAGTTTCTGCAACCATAGCTTAGAATAAGCAAGGCAGCCACTCAGGTTATGAAACATGGCAGTATGTTGGCTGGAGTTTGGTATACATATCAAAACAGAATCTTCACGCAGTGGGCCTCAGATTCTAGAAGGCTGATGCACTTTTGAGGGCCACAGGATTTAACTGTATATTAACAACTGTAGAGCTTTCCTTGTAATAGGGAACCTGAAACAACTTGAGGCCATTTAAGCCCAACCATGCTGACCTCAAGAGTCACTGGCATGTGTTCTTCTGTGACATTGGGAGACAAAGTATTAATCCAGGACACATCATCTCAAAGCTGACACATGTCTACGTTCATCTCCAAAAGTATATGAATTGCATATATTTGTTCGCATTCAACAAGTCCATTTATGCAAATACAAAGGCTACTTGTATTCCACTCGGGGTTACCGGACGAATTCCATCCCCTTCTCTCTCTCCATCAAGGAACTGGTGATTCAGATGAGGAGTTCAATCAGAATTTGTGACTTCGATGATGGGCTGTCACTCAAAGGGGTTCATAGTCTGAAATTATTCCACCGCTAAGGTGAAAATGCCTCTGCCCAAAGCTGTAGAGTTACTCATTAAGGTTAGTGTGGCAGCTACAAAACGCACTTATAGATACAGGACATTTAACATTTCTGGGTTGTCTTTCTAAGGGGATGGGCACGGTTTCCAGGCCCACTAGCTCGTGTGGCTCTTCTCTCAGAACTGGTGGAAAGCCAGAACTCGCCAGGTGTAGCATTCCACAACATTCACAGGCAGTTCTAAGCATGAGGTTATACACGCACGCACGCGCACACGCACACACACTCACACCTATGTACACACATCAAAACAGATAATCAAGCTCATATTTAGTCTAGGAAAAAAATATATTTATATCACTGCAATGGCACACCCTGGGTAAAATGTTACTTCAGCAATGCATATCATAGGCAGCTCCTGGGAACTGGCTGTGTTTCATGTGGTGGCACCTGACCTGGTGTCCATAGTAAAACCTGTAGCCTTTGGTCACTTGCTGCCACACCCATGCAGCAGTGACATACAGGAATGAGATATGGAAATACATATAAATAAAACCACAAGGAGTTTGGGAACAAGGGTTCTGCAGAGCTGGTGCCTCGCGACGGTATATTCCTCAGTGCAACCGGAGAACAGACGCCGAACCTTGAATGTTTGCTGTTTCTTTCGCTGGGAAAGGGGATTTGACAGGCATACGTTTCTTCTTTTTAGGTAGGGGTGCTGTTTCGTGTGTCTTTGCTCCAGAACTGGCACAGAAGCAGAAGAAAAATTTAGAAGGAACCAAGGAGGGCGTGTTCTGTTTTCTTCTGTGGGCTTTGTAATCAACAGGAAGGGCTGTGAGGCCAAGATAGCAGAATCTACTCCCTGTAGAGAAAAGAACAAGGCTTCAGACAAAACATTGACCAATACTGCCAGCCAGCTGTCAACCACTATTGCAAGAAAGAATACAGGTACACAGAAGGTGGTGGCGCTCAGGAAGAAGTGGTTCAGGAGGGAGACCTGCATTCTTACTTCGCTCCTGTGAAAAACGACAACTGGAACAGCCAAAAAATAATGTGTATTTGCAGCTTAATTAGAACTCCTCTGAGGAAGGTACTATTCTTATTCCTATTACATGGATGAGGACATTGAAGCACAGAGAGGCTAAGCTACCTGCTCATGTCATACATTCTGAAAAAGCAAACCTAGGATTTGAATGTGACATAGTCTGAGTCTACAATAGTGTGAGAACAGCCTTTCTTTGAAATAAAAATTCTGACGTGTTATGGTTCACTTGTGCGAGATGGGCTTCGAGTTGGTGAGAGGGCACGCGAGGCCAATTGTCCAACTATAAAAGCCTGGATACTAGCAGCCTGATTTCCAATGAGGGAAATGGTCTATCTTGGGACTAAATCTGAAACTATCCCAATCTGCCAACAGTCAACAATATGACTGAAAAAAAAATGCAAACTAAGAAACTAAAAGGACTGGATGTTTTTCTTAAAAAGAAAGTAACTTCTAAAGAACGAGACTATCTCATTAGTAAAGGATCCATACAATCTGTATGGAACAGGCAGATAAAGGGAACCTGGGCTCAGGCGCACAGCGAGAGGTTTGGTGCGCCAGTGAGAGTGGTCTTGGGGGCTCAAGCCCAGCGAGAACTAATCTGCTACAGACGCCCCATCTGTCTAGAATCGAACAAGGCTGGCACAATACAATGAAATCATTGGGGCTCTGCATTCATCAAATAATGAACTCAAGACAAAAGAAGCAATTTCTCTTCTTTCCTTTGTGACAACTATTAAGATTTCCTCTTGGACTATATCGCCCACCCTAGTGGCCATGTTTGGCAGTTGGTGGCCTCGAGTGGGGAGCCAAAATTAAGACGCATTAAAATGCATCTTTACAGACAATGTTGCTTATTTTATCAAACCACCTATTTATCTGCATATATATATATATATATATATGTGTGTGTGTGTGTGTGTGTGTGTGTGTGTGTGTGTGTGTGTATGGGTTTATTTATTGTGTGAGGGAGATAAATAAAATTTAGTTTCTTTGAGGTAGATGACCATTATTTAAACTTGTAGAAAATACTTCAGTCTATTTGGACAGAGAAAAATAAAGTTCTCTTCTAAAATAGTCAGATAGAAATTACTTCGCAATTTAAAATTATAAATGTGGCTAAGGGTGTAACTACCAAGGCCATCAAGAAGCCACTTATCAACACCATTCATTTTGACAATTATGAAAAAAAAATGAAAGAAAAGGGATCAGATCAATTTTTTGCATTTGATAGGCCTACTGATTTGCAGATTCACAACTGAAAGATGGATGCATAACACTTGGGAAGACTTGGAGGAAGGGTACACCTCTCTTATGTGAAATTCAGCGCGTCCTACGTAAGAGTATTTTATATACACTTAGAGCATGTGTCAGGAAAGGGGCTAGTATTAAAGTATCATGATCTCTAATTTACAGGTGGAAGAACTGAGTTATAAAGAAACAGGAACTGAATTTCCCAGTGTCAACACTCAGTTGGCTGGAGAACACATAGCTATCTGGATGCCAGAGTCTGTATCCACGCCCTGGGAAACAATGCAGCATTCCTATTTTCCTGACCTTGATCTTCTAAAACATGTGTAACTTCACGGAAGCGGTAAAGTCAACACTCTTACTGCTGCTGGATATTATTTTAGACACCCGGAAAATCCGTTGTGTGGCTTTTCCATTGGCCTGTAGACTAACTCAAACATGTGTTCAAATTAAGATGCAGGAGGCAACTTTTGAATGAAGGCTTCCTATGCTACCTTTTTTTCAATCCTCACCTGATTATTTCATTTACAGAGATACCTGCTGAGAAGTAAGAAAACGATACCAGTGTACTATATGGCATTAACTTGTTAGGATATCTTAGAATTGATGCACTCTCTTTTGAAATGTTCTGCCTTGAATATGTTCAGTGTTCAGAATAATACCTCAAGTCTTAAGTTGTTGACTTTAACAAAGCAAAACTTTTCATTATTCAATGCATGCAAGGTAACATTCTCTTTTTACTTAGAAGATAATGCCATAATGCTATCTTATTTGAATCAGTCTGTTAGGATTAAAAATAAAATGCTCTATAGCTTTGCTGAAAGAAAAAAAGTTATAAACCTTTTTGTTAAAGCAAGAAAAGAAAAAAACAAACAAACAAAAAAAACCCAAACTGAAAAAAACCTACATTTGTCAACTTTTAACATGAATATCCAGAGCTCCTAGACTTTAGCAAAAGTGGTGATATGATAAAACAAATATCGTCGAGGCAGTTTAAAAAACAAATTTCACATTCCTTCTGAACAGAAAAGCTTTTATAACTAATGTTGCAAAAGGTTTCTACTAAACTGTCATGATTTGACAGCATCACATTTAACATTCTTTGCATTATAAGAAATAGCTTTCAGGATAAAACCGAGGTGGGGGGTGGGGTGGGGAGAAATGTCGTTAAAATCAGCCAAGCTGTTGTTGAAAAGTGATAAAAATGGAAGTTAAAAAAATAAATTTGTCCAGTCAAAAGAATCAGGCTGTTGGCTTCTAGGAATGAATAAAGCCATTTATTTTACGTGTTTCAAGAAGAAAATTCCAGGATTAAAATAGAAGCATCTTAAGGTTAATGGGCTTCATGGACGGAAAACATGTTTTTACGTAGGCTACTTTCTGATAATGAGGAAGTTAAGGTGAGTTCCAAGTCTCACCATTGACATCTAGGTAAATTTCCCTGGCTGATCTTGTTTGGCACAAGGGGTGCTGGAGCAGAAAATAAAATGAAACTAATAGAAAAGACCCTCTAGCACTTCTCAGCTGAAACAAACTCAACAAAGAATGGGGCACGCGCATGACCCAACAAGGTTTGAGGTTACTACCTGGTACCCAGAAGATGATCAATAAATATTTGTGTCATGAATGAAAGGTACCAAAGGGCAACAGGAACCCCTGTATGGAGCCCCATGGAAGAGAAAGCGCAGCCAGCAGGGGCCCATCCTCTCAAACCTGACTGCATATAGTTCCTAGTTTATTTTTTCCTGGAAGAACATTAGAGAAGCCATATTGGTTTTGGTCTCTACTCCCATTGAAAAGAGAAGACCGAAATCTTGAAATAACCCCAAACTAGCTGACAGATGTGAAAGAATATTACTGCTCCGTGTTTCAAATAAGATCAAGTTTTTTAAAAAATAGCTTTCCTTGGAGAAAGATTCATTGTTGGTTCTTTTGCCTTACCTTGGGGATTTGGGTTTGCTTCTTCAAAGGAGGGAAGTGTGAAAGTTCCCCATTCAAGATTGTCACAGTCCACTATCCATAAGGTAATTATGAAAAGTTTTGTAGAGTCCCGAAATTAGATTTTATATGGCACAGCCTCAGACCTAAAGAAACAGACCTCATTTGTCCAGTTAGAGGGTATGGTGCTTGGGTTTTCCTATTATTATCATTATTTTAAGTCCACTTTCCTTTTATTTCCAGCCCCTCGTGTCACCATAATCCACCAGATGGCCTGAGCACTGAAGGAGCAACATGGACATGTGGTTTTCACCTAGGGTTTGTATCCCCATGGCATGAACCAAGCCTTGAAAGCTACAGCTGAGTCCTTCAAATATGTTTCTGGTCGTGGTCTTCATTCCAGTGAAAGAAGGATGACTGTAAATTATGCCACAAACTAAATACTACGGTTGTAATTCCAAATGGAGAGAGGGTCCAGGATGTCTCAGAGAAGCTCAGTGTCTGGCAGCAAAGACGGCATCGAAACTTGGAGGCAGTGTCCTATTTATACAGGTCCATGTATTTTACAAATTGGTGATGGACGGAAGTACTTCTGAGAAACAATGTGTTCCAGGTTTAATTCAAATGATGGTGGTCATTTCTGTAAGCCCCACAGTTTCAGCAATCTGTACACCAAGCAATGCTGCAGATTTTTTTTTTTTTTTTAATTTCAGAGGGCGAAGACGAAGTAAAAAAAGTGCAGTTCTTCAATTAAAGTGCATGGATGAGGTAAACTAATTTCAAGAGTTTTGAGTTTATTCAGTACTGGCTCAGACAGGAACCATTCTGCCATGTATCTGCTGCATTTGGGTTCTCATTGCCTGGACACTGCTCAAAATCTTATTCTGGTGTGTGACAGCTGTGATGCCAATTCGTGCCAGGTCGCTGTATGGTGCAGAAAAACAAGGCAGAGCAAACGTTACGAGGGCTGAGAACCTTTTTTTCCGGGCTTCATGCAGACACACATTTGAATCAGCCACAATTCATACAGCACAACAAGGCAGGTGTATTAAAATGTTTAATTAAGCAATTTAATGCCACAATGTAGGTGCTTTATAGAGGCTGTATAAAATTATACTCAATTAAAATGAAAAGCATTCCGGTTCTCTTTTAAAAAAAAGAAAAAGATGGGTAGGATGATTATGCAGCTCAAAGCAAAAAAGGAAAATACTATTAAATCTAGATTTACCCTTTCGTGTTACATCGCTGAGTACTTACTCCTGGTTCATGTGCACTACAGCCTCTAGTGTGGTATAACCGGCAGCCGTGAAATTGTCCTTATACCGATCCATTTTAATGGCCTGGAGCCAATCACCCACCGATACCACAGCAGAGAATTCAGGGGAGCTTGGATCCAACAAGGCCGTGTTGGGTCTGGAAATGGAACGAGAAAGCGTAGATGAAACTATCAGTGAGACGACAAGACTCAGAAGTCAGATGGTCTGAAACAGGCAGGGGAACTGAAACCCCAAGAGAAGGCTATTGATGGAAGAACCATCGTCAAATGGCATGTGACTTTTTGCCCCTAATTTCAGAAAGCTTCTAAAGCATGTAACCATCACCCTATTTGTTCTTAATTTTGTGTGCATTATGTGACCCTCTTAATGCATTAATGATCATAGCAGGTCTTTTAAACACCCCAGCTTAGGGTAAAAATTGGCAGAGCCCCCATGGCTGCAATTGACTCAGTCTTTGCAGAAAGAGCCCAGTCCCTGCCAGCACTGAATATTACAGACTTTATTTCAGCAACTATGGAAACCCTGGTGAAGTATGAGGAAGGGAAACTGTGAGCTTGCAACCTGCCAGACTTGATGGAAACAGAGAAAGCAGCAAGAGTTCAAGTCCAGAGTGCTTCCAGCCAGGTTTGCAGGCGGTCTCAGTGCATTGGAACAAACTCGGGACAACAGGGAGTTAATCCCCTCTTTAATCAACCTATGCCTAACCAGCACGTGTGCCAAGACTGGCAGGAAGAATGGCCACTTTGATCACTGTGTGGACTGTGGAATGTGCTTCTCATATTCCCTTGCTGGGGCTCCTAAATAATCATTTCAACAAAATCTGAGCACCTCTTATTAACTTATTTATTAGTTTACGCATTTCTCAGGCCAGGTGTTTCATATTAGGTCATTGTTAAGCGTTACTACAGTTCAAGGCAGGAATTCTGCCATTCTTCATAATATTAATATATAATAAATCATCCATTAATGGAAAGTATTTAGTAAGAGAATTATAGTCATCCTCATCATCAAAATATCTAGTAATCACAGAGTGGACATTTACAGGGTATTTTCTACTGCCCTTACTATAATTACCTGTGTAGCAACACTGCCACTTAAGTTATATTTTCTTAAAGTTGCCTTTTCTCTAGAAATGATGGAATGAGGCTGATCTTAATATTTTGGCCTGATTTTCATCCTGAGACTATGTTGTTTGAATACAGACATTTAAATCAGAAGTATACCATCACTATTGAATTTTCAACCAAAAAAACAATTATTTCCTTATAGAAACAAAATCATGTCAATACAATGCCTTGATTCATTTTCTACATAGCAGAATTAATCCAATTCCATTTTTTATTTTAACTTTTACCTGAGTTATTTTGATTTGCATTTCTTCTCTTTTATATAACTATCTCAACAGACTTGTTTTATTAATCAGTTTTGTGCCCAAATAATAATAGCTCAGCTCGCCTTTGTAACCTTTCTTTTATACCCATTACTTCAATAATATCCAATTTTCTAAGTCAAATTCTGCAGATTTTTATGGCAAGAACAATCAAGGTTTCATTCTTCCCCCGATTTTGAGTCAATAGCAAATATTACACCACATAGAATTTTGGACGTTAGTGTTAAATGTTTATCAATTGAAATATTTACTAAAAAAAGACCAAACAGTTTGCATTTACTTCTAACTTTAAGCCAAGAGCAGTAATAGGCAACATGTAGACTTCCTGAGAAGGTCAAAATGACCTTCGGATGAAAATATCCTCAGTCCATATCCATTAACTCTAAGGGACACTCGGAAGCTTGTTCTGGAAGTCTCTGTGCCCTTTGGGGAACACCATGGCATTAGCCTAATTTTGTGCTCAGTCATATATCATGTTACACTACACCCCATTATCAGCAAGTGGTGATAAGCATCAAAGCTGCTTAAGTACCATCAGTGGGGGGGGGGGGGGGGG